AAAAAAAAATAGCCAGATGTTGTGGCAAGCGCCTATAGTCCCAGCTACTTGGGAGGCTGAGGCAAGAGAATCACTTAAGCCTAGGAGTTTAAGGTTGCTGTGAGCTGTGATGCCACGGCACTCTACCAAAGGCGACATAGTGAGATTCTGTTGCAAAAAATAAAAAATAAAAATAAGACTAACATTAACACTTAAAAATTATTTGCCCAACTTAAGACTCTTTTGTATTTCTTTCTGGCTATGCTTTATTTGTTGTTTGATTTTTATTTTCACTGGTTGTAATTACAAGGCATTAGAAATGTCAGGATCCCACTACCAAAAAAGAGCCCTTGAGCTTAGGATCACTTGTACCCAGAGTTCAAGGCTGTAGTGCACTATGAATGTGCCTGTGAATAGCCACTGCACTCTAGCCTGGGCAACACAGTGAGACCCCATCTCAAAATAAGAAAATAAATTTTAAAATTTTCTTAAATGATCTGTTTTTTAATCCACTGTTATAGTTCCATGGCAAAGAAAACTTTATTTATGAGACATGCTACTCCTTAGAAACACATTCTTCTTAGTAAAGTATCACAAGAATGGAAAAGCAAATATCCCATGTACCCAATACTAATATGACGCCAGTAGATGATCTAATTTGTGCCCACATAAGAGAAAAACTCACCTCAATTCCAGCTGGGAGGAGGAGGAACAAGAAAGTGGGGAGAGGGGAGGAGGGGAAGGGACTGATTTGCTCCCACTTAACGGGCACAATGTCAGGGTATATAGCACACCTTTTGGGTGCAGGACACAACTACAAGAGGGAGTCTAACTAACGAACGCATCGTAATCTATATGTAATCGTAATGTGTATCCTCACATTAACCTGAACTTAAAATATATATATATATATACATACAGTAGAACCTCCATAGTTGACCACCTCAAGCTGACCTAATTTTCCTAGACCAGACGTGTACCACGTGTACAAATCAGTACAAGTGGCCTAGTTCCTTGTGTTGACCTCCTCCATATGTTGACCAGTCTGTTATAGTCTGTAACCCCTTGGGAGGTTCTACTGTTACTTCTTTTTACTATGCCCCTACAACTTACCTAAATCTCCACATAAATCTTGGACTGTTTATAATACACAGATGTCTTCCATAAACTCTTTTGTGTTGCACCCCCAAGCACATGGTATTTGAATGTAATTCCTTCCCAGCTAAATCCTAGCATATTTTATCCCCTTTCATCTATCTTTCTTACCTAAGTTTTATCTTTGTAACAAAAATTTTATTTATACAAAATATACTTGAGTATATAAAATAAAGCTAAGGACCCACTTCATTTATAGTATTTCTTCCCAGTAATCTCCTATCTCACTGCCAGATAACCACTGTTATGAATTTAAGTGGTACTTTCAAAATATTTGGATAGCCTGTCCTCTCTGAAACGGTTTCTTATCTCTATGTAGAATTTCCTATCTTGCAGTGTCCTATAAATAAAGATTAAGGTCCACCCTTTTCTTTATTTAAAAAAAAGATTAAAAAATAAAATATTTTTTATGTTTACATATATAAAACTACATACAAAAAAAATAGGGATTTTATCTTAAACAATCATTATCATTGTATGAATCATTCTATAAAAGCTTTCTCAATACAGTAATATAACTGAAAGTTACTACTGGTGATTCATAGAAATCTAACTCCTCGATCCTTTCAACTGTTAGATCATAATCTATTACACAAACATATTTTATTTAGCTATTGTCCTTCTGATGGCCATTTAAGATGCTTCCAATTTTTCACTGCAGTAACCATCCATTATATGCCTCTATGCACATAAAAGCAATTAACTCCCGAGGGTAGATAAGTAAAAGTGGAATTGCTAGGCAACAGGGTGTGTCCAATTTTTTTTCTTAAATATTCAATCTCCCTCCAAAATAAATAACACTACACGTATCAACTCCCACCATCAACATTTGAGAATCCCATTTCCCTCCTTTTCTCCCTTACAATTCAAAAGGTACCCAGGGCTCTGCTGCCTCTACTAATCCCCTTCCCTCCTATTCACTGAGAGCACTAGTCCCAGGCCTTCAGCGACCCCACCAACTTCCTATGTGTTTGAGGAATCCTAAAGCCTGTAGCAAAGAGGCAGAATTCAGGTATCCCTAAAATACCTGACCATATCAAGAAAACATGGGTTTTGAGCACCCCAAATCCAAAGAAACTATCTATAAATAAGCTTATGTTCTATTATATCATGGTACAATTTGTCAGGTATGTGTTACATAACTTTATGAGGACTGCCCTAGGAAACTAAAAATTACATATTAAAATGGTACACACACACATACATATAAAGATAGCTTCTACATGGAAAAACTGAGTTCCAAACAGAAACTTAAATTGGAAATTGCTCATACAGTAGTACCCCCTCATCATGTTCATACTCCACGGTTTCAGTTTACCCATGCTCAATCACGGTCCAAACGTACATGAATACAGTACAACAAAGTACTTAGAGAAAGAGAGAGGCCTGTGCCACATTCACAGAACTTTTAATATAATATACTATAGATATCCTATTATTAGTTATTGCTATTATTCTCTTACTGTGCCTAACTTATAAATTAAACTTTATTATAGGTATGGACAGATAAGAAAAAACAAAGGCTAAATAGCAGCGATTCTCAACCTGTGAGTCACAACCCACAGGAACTGTATTAAAGGGTCGCAGCATTAGGAAGGTTGAAAACCACTGCTATATAGGGTTTAGCATATGCATGCTTTCAAGCAGGCGTCCTCAAACTGAGGCCCGCCTAGGACATTTATCTGGCCCACCGGGTGTTTTTGCCGCTGCTGCCTGTCCTGCTTAGCAGCTGACTCGTCCCGGGGCCTGCAGCCAGCCCTCCAACAGTCTGAGGGATAGTGAACTGTCCCCTTGTTTAAAAAGTTTGAGGACCTCCGCTTTAAAGTATCCACTGTGGGCCTTAGAACATATCCCCCAAGATAAGTGGGGCCTACTGTATTCAATTGCCAGTGTGCAATGAGATGCTATTTTAATTTTTCATAGTTTTTTCCAATGCAACCTAGAATTCATATGTACACTACCACAGCTTTAGCAAGTTTATCCCATTCACATCAACTCATGCACATCCATAGACTTCAAACTAATTTTAATACAAAATAACTTAAAACCAAAACCCAATTCTATCACTTACTAGCCATATGCCCTTCAGTAAATTTTATTTTCTTCATTTTAACATGTAATAATAATTCCCAGTTCCGGAGAGTGACTGGAATGATTAAATTGGAGCATATTCTTTAGTTCTACCCTATAAAATGAAGATATACTAGTGCCTACTAAATGAGGTTCATGAAATATTTAAATAAGTTAAAATTATATAAAGTGCTTAGAATGGTACCTGGTATTATAAAAATATCTGCTATTATTATTACTATTACTATTAATAAGATCTCAGAGTAGTTATATGTAAAAATGAAGCTTCAATGCATGATCTCCTGAAATATAACCAGGTTCTAAATTCTCATGCACTATAATTCAAAGACACCAGATACCCCTAAAATTAGCAATGTATTCTGTAAGGCCTTCCTTCATAGATTCTCTATTGGCAGCCTGCTCTCAACAGACTAAGACTAAACTGCTGAAGTTCATGACAGAGTTCACTTTATCAGAGCCTTTAGGTTTTGACCAGGGACTGGTTGTATTCGTTCTCCTCTGTACAAAGTTTAGAAAATCACAGACCTTCAAGACACTGGATGCAAAGTGGTGTCATACAGGACACAGGGATACCTCATTCCCTTAGAACAACAGCAAAAGTATAAATGGCAAAAAGTCAAGCAATTACATCAAAATCAAGAAAGTAAAATCTGGAATTACATTTACAACACTAACTTAGCCTATTATGCCCCCTCCCCAAAACTCAAAACTCACCAAGGTTCATCAGTAGGTTCCCAACAAACGAGACATACACTACAAGTAAAACACATGGCTCTATCATCTCCAGATGAGGCAGGCTGCAAAATTACAGAAAGGAGACAAAAAAGTAAATTATTATTAAAACAGCTTCATAATAAAAATTTTTTTCAAAAGTTCATAATTATAAGTAAAATTCCATACTGCAACAAAGAAAATTAGCCTTATACTATTAGCTCCCAATACCACAAGGAAACTTTCAAATGTTTATGGACTGGCTATGTTATTTGAAAAATAGTGTTTCAGGTGGCGCCTGTGGCTCAGTGGGTAAGGCACGGGCCCAATATACCAAGGCTGGCAGGTTTGAACCACCGCAGCCAAACTGCAACAAAAAAGTAGTCGAGCGTTGTGGTGGGTGCCTCTGGTCCCAGCTACTCGGGAGGCTGAGGGAACAGAATCGCCTAAGCCCAGGAGTTAGAGGTTGCTGTGACCTGTGACACCAAAGCACTCTACCGAGGGTGATAAAATGAGATTCTGTCTCTAGAAAAAAAAAAAAAGAAAGAAAATAGTGTTTCATCTCGTATATTTATTTATTTTTATTTTTTTTATTTTTTTTATTTTTTTTATTTTTTGAGACAGAGCCTCAAGCTGTCTCCCTGGGTAGAGTGCCGTGGCATTACAGCTCACAGCAACCTCCAACTCCTGGGCTCAAGCGAGTCTCCTGCCTCCGCCTCCCAAGTAGCTGGGACCACAGGCGCCCGCCACAACGCCCGGCTATCTTCTGGTTGCAGCCATCATTGTTGTTTGGCAGGTCCGGGCTGGGGATTCGAACCCGCCACCTTAGGTGTACGTGGCTGGCGCCCTAGCCGGTTGAGCTATAGGCGCCGAGCCCATCTCGTATATTTAGTGGAAAACAACCACTAAAACAAACACTGAAACACACATATACTTAATCCAAAAGAGTCTAATAGTTTATTATTAAGTACTGAATCCCATATTACCACACAAGAAAAGCAAGTAAAAAGGAAAAACAAACTCTTCAATTAAATTCATGTCATACTCCTTTTCTTTTTTAAAGAGACAGGGTCACAATTTATCACCCAGGCTGGAGAGTAGTGGCCCAATCTAGCTCCATGCAACCTCAAATTCTTGTACTCAAGTGATCCTCTTACATAGCTGGGACTATAATCACACTACCACTATAGCTAATTTTTCTATATTTTTGAAAAATTGGTCTAAGTTGCTCAGGCTGGTCTCAAACTCCTGGGCTCAAATAATCCTCTTATTTTGACCTTCCAAAGTACTGGAATCAGAGGTGTGAACCACTATATGAACTCAAATTTCTGTAATATTCTTTAGGACACAAGGAACTAAATGCTATGTATATTTTAGTTCAGGTTTTGATCCACAAAATTACTCAAACTTACATGTTTTATAATATTTACTATATTATTTTACTATTTTGCAATTACTCAAAATTATATGTTTTATAATATTTACTATATTATTTTATATAAGTATAATTAGTGTTATAATTTATATATTTTAAGCATTATATATAAAAATACATACATTTCAGTTCATGTTTTGAATACATATAATATGAACTGAAATATATCTGAAAACTAACATTCATAACTGTGAATATGTATACCTTATAGATGCAAAACTATCATAAGTTTTAGAAGATTCAGAATAATCAGCCCCTAACACAAGCAGGGGCTTGTTATTTAATTATTATTAAATTAATATTATTTAATCTCATTGAAAAGACAATATAATGCATGGCAACTCAAAAGAAAAAATATCAAGGGGCTCGGCGCCTGTGGCTCAAGTGGCTAAGGCGCCAGCTACATACACCTAAGGTGGCGGGTTCGAATCCCCAGCCTGGGCCCGCCAAACAAC